GCCAGGAGCCCCGTTCGTAGCGTCCTTGCTCCGTTCGTAGCGATGCCAGGAGCCCCGTTCGTAGCGAACATGGTTCCCCTGTGGTTAAAACCCACCTGCGGTTGGTGACCTCCCAAGAACACCAAGCCGCAGGTCGCCTTCGACAGAGTGGTCAACCTAAAACACAGGAGCCACGCGAGGCGGGGCGTTGGGAGAAGAGTCACCTTGCAGACGGCATCTTGACAATAACGCGACGGCCTCCAACTCACTAGCAATGGCCTCCAACCTAAAAGCCATGGCCTCCAACCTACTAGCGATGGCCTCCAACTTGCTAGCAATGCCTCGCAAAAAGATACAATTAATGTATATGAAAGTAGACTCAGAAGGTTTGGTCCAAGGTCTGGTCCTGATATGTCCTGATTCTTTGTGAGGTTGTGGTCATTTGGTGTTTTTGTTTCTTAAATTCTTTCGTGGTGCTGTTTTACATTCCGGTGACCTTCCAAGCATCTTGAAGAAAGAAAGCCCAGATTGATCACGGGCACAACCACCAAAGAATTAGAATAATATCACTTTTGGTACTCTTTGTTCATCTTTGTACCACACACCATGCTGACATGAGGCGCTTTTAGGAGCTCAAACGCTTGGACTGAATTGCTGCGTTTCGCGAGGGCCTTCCGGCACCGGACATGCCGCCCTCTTCTCCTTCAACTGGTTGAGTGAGCGACCAGCATCGGAGCGACATGCGCTGCGAGTGGCAGTTTTTCAAGGGACAAGGGACATGCAACTCACGAAGACTCACAAGCTGCCTGTTTCAGGCCGTTGCAACGAAGCCCCCCTCGACATGTTTCATCATCTTTCCCCAAGTGCAGCTCGGTGTTTCCGGTGGGGATCCAGCAAAAGAGACGACGCATCCAACGAGATTCCAATTCTTCAGTAATTACAAAGCTGATCTTCAGTACAAAGCTGATCCAAGACTTGAATGAGTTCCTCTGATGTTCAGCACTTCAGGTTCTAAGGGATGAATTTGGCCTGCGGACTACAAGGGGAGCCATTCTTTGTGATTTTGTTTGGCATGTGTTGCACCAAAAGGAGGACACATCGAAACTGCACAGCCTGAAACTCGTCGATCGTGGCCATCGCTCCAAAACTGCAGATCCATGCACATCAGAATGCATCACTCGACCCGGAGGTCCTTCAGCCAATTTGCTGTACGTGTACGTAGGCTGCTAAATTGGCCCTGGGAAATAGGCAAATGCCATATTGAATTTTAAAGGCTACACAATTTGATTAGGGTAATTATGTAGCCAAATGTTTTGGCGGAGATCGAACAGTGGAAGAAACATATGCACAAAATACAGCAAAATACATCCGAATTCATCCAATCCTCTCAATTCTCTCATCTCACAAGAGCCAGTGCAGTCGCTGGAGGGTACCACGCCGCCGGAACGCCATGGCTTGATGTGCGAGTCTGTTCTGGAGAGCGACACAGTTGCACTCACCGGGCCACTTGAGAAGTTCAACGCCGGCGCACTGTGAACCAGATTCCTAGATGGGCGCCAAAGACCTTCTCAGGGTACTAGGGAGCCCTCTCATCCAGTATTTGGAGCTCTAAAGATTGGGAAAGCTTGACCCAATCACCCAAAAGTCCGGCCTTTGGATTTGATTGTGTATGTTGGGAACCTTTCAAGTTTCATGTTGACCAAGCCCCACTGCAGAAATCCCTAGAAGGTCTTCGACGTCTTCGAACTTTAGTCACCCAAATCATGTGGAGACCCCTCTCAATGAATGTGCTACATAGTCCCTGAACCAAGAACCAAGGACCAAAAAAGACATATGCTCTAGAGCAACATTGCCTACTCAAAATATTGTGTGCTTGTACGGAAGCTGTGGTCAATGACAGCCAACCCTTTCCCTCCTTCTTTCCTTGAAACAACACCTTACCATGAACTGAATTTATACTGACACAACTTAAGGTCTTCAAGACTTTTCACACCTTCCCAGCTTCATCACTTCACATGGAAACTTTAACGCTCCAATACATATGGTTAGAGTAATAACTCTGTGTGTGTGTGTGTTTGTTGCACAGTCTATTGAACCTCAGCATCACCAAACTGGGTTGCAAAACCAAAGCCCCAGTTGCAAAAGCCAAAGCTCCAGTTACCACAAACAGAGTTTCATGTGACACTCATCCGACTGATCTTGGGAACGGAACGTTTGCACGACTGATCATGAGGAGGGATTCCAAAGACCAATCTTTTCGGGGAATGAACCTGATGTCTGCCCCCCACGGGTGGACCGCACCAAATGTGGGCTGGGGGCTTGTGACTAAGTGTTTTCCGGGGATGAGATATCATATAAAACAAGAATAATCTATTATGAGGTGGTTGTGGGATTCTGGGAGGGATGTAGGATGGGGCAAACTGTCCTGGTATAAGCAACTGGTTTTGGGGGATAATTAGTCAGCTCCCCAAGGGCAAGAGTCAGCATGAGCAAAAAGTTTTTGTAAGGAGAAAGGTCATAGCTAGTTAGTGCTATAGTTTAATTTAGTTTAGTTTCGTTCATATAGTTAGTTGAACAGATTTTTGTGTTTTCTAGTTGAGTTCATTAGTTGTTTCGTTACTTAGTTACTTAGTTAGTTAGTGTTATAGTTATAGTTATAGGTAGTTGGTTAGTTAGTCAGTTAGTTAGTTAAGTTTATTGGTTAGTCAAATTAGCTCGTAACTTGGTTAGGGTGCCCATAAGACCGGATCAGGGATTGGTCACGCTACAAACGTTAAGCAAGGTGACGACCAGGTGACGATGGGCTTAGTTAGTGATTTTGATGCGTCCAAGTCCAAGGTACCCAAATCCACTTGTGCAGGTCCCTGGATCGAGAAGGTTCTTGGGGAAAGGCCAGAATAAGTGCCGGAATATCTGCATGTATTTGCACGAAAGACTAGAATTGGGCCAATCAATAGGAGTTGACGTTACCGACCAACAGTGGGTTGGTTCGACCCCCTTGCAGAATGACGGCTAGCATGACTGACAACGAGGGTCTGGTGTTATCATTCCATGCCTCACCTAGGCAAGACCTGTCAGATAGGGCATCTCCATTTGATCAGCGTTTTTGAGACTCTTTGGATGTGTCCTTTGCGAAAAAACTGTGAGTGATCACTTCGGTCATTTGGCTATACTATCGACCTATATCATTGTATTAAGCAACGGTTCAGACATAGCCAAATCACATTGGTACAAACTGCTGGATATGTAACTTGATGCTAAGTCAGGTTGGTGGAACACAACATATTTCCACTGTGGCGGCAAGCTACCAACAAACCAAGCTGCAGATCGTCTCAGAAAACCTTGCTGGCTCATCAGATCGGCTATGTGCCTGCAATAAGCAGAGGAAACAACACAGGCCTGAAATGATTTCCCCGATCCTACGCGCACCGCTGCTTGAATGATTGCGGAACACAAAGAATTGAGTAACGTTCCACATCACCAGCACGCAAGTATTGGCGGAGAACTTCCCAAGCTGTACCGAAGCCTGCCGCAACAGCCGCACGCTGTGAAAATCTGTGACACGCCACCTGCAAACACCCCCTGAAGTGTTTCTCTAGTGGTCGCGTGCACCACGCAGAAGCCGAAAGCGCGCACAGATGGGAGTGTTCGCACCTGATGATGTTGCATGTGCGAAAGTGTGGCGCAAGCTTTTCTAGAATAGGAGCTTTGTGGTTTGAATCTGGTCCACGCCAGTGACAGCTGTGACAATGACACAATATATACTATGCACATGTCCTCATTTCCCAGCAGTGTTTGCTGAAAAGGTGATTCTTCTCGTCGACTGTGTGGGCTTCGATCTCCTGAGGCTCCGCCTCTCCTGAGGCTCCGCCTCTCGAGTTCGCTTCGTCGTCCCGACTCAGACGCCACCGTAACGCGGTGCCCGGCCGCCCGACCGTGAAGAGCGTGACCGTTGCGGTGCGCCGGTGCCCGGCCGACGGTGAAGCTCTGAGTTGGGCCTCGACCCGTGGCACGGAGAGACGATTGACACGTGTCACGAGCAACCAATTTGTGGCTCCCTGTGGAGATGGATCGAACATTTGGAGGTGCTGCCTGGTTGTTCCCACACCTGCCTTTCAGTGCAGCAGGTCAGCCAGGGCTCGATATTGTGGCCCAAAAAAGAAAGAACTCATTGCTGGTGAGGGCCCCTTTCCCCCTGACCTACCAAGACATGTCTTTGACATGGAACTTGTCATAGATCTTCTATATGGTAACATCACATCAGTCATTTTCATGTTGAATCACAGGAAAACCAGAAAGCCTTTGAATCGCCGAACCAAAAAAAACATTTGCCTGAGCTTTTAGCTCTTGGGGAGGTCAATCAAGCGCCTTGCAAGCCACCCACAACGCTTGGCCAAACTCCCGGAATTACCAGCCTTGCGAAGCCTTGCAGCTCGATCTTCCGATGCCAAGCGATCTTCCGATCGGAATGTGCGTTCGGTGAAATCAGCGAAAGACCCCAAACAACGATTTCTATGGCTGATCTTCGGGCATTTTAGCTTCTCAACAAGACATGTATATATATATATATAAAGTGTTTAAGGCAAATATATAGCTGTGTTAGATCACTGTTCATTGTCCACATCAGGTCACATATACTTGTAGTGGTTCACACTCACTCAAAAGCCGAGTTCACTTAACTCGGGGAAGTACAACACCAAGAATTCAACTGGGAGGTTGGAAAGGCTTCCCATCGAAGAGAGACAGAATAAGAGCACCAGGCACGCCACCTCATCCAACATTTTTTGTCACCGCTTTTCCCCACAGCCAGCGAGCTCTTGGCCAGCAGGCGCATTCTCGCTAGCCATGGTTCAGTCTGCGGTGAGACAGTGACTCATGCGGCCAGCCCAGTGGGATTGTTCCAAGATGTTCCAACTGTTCTCGGCATTCTCGGCACACGAGGACGTGCCAAGTACACTATCCACGAAGACTACTGCATGGGTGCTGAATTTTGCTGGCGGCCATTCAATCTCCCTCCAACAAGTCGCTGTTTACCACAGATTGCGGCAGCGGGACGTTCATCAATTTTTTGTCGGACGCCGTCTGAGTCTGACGGCCCCAACATCAGCACGGGGGCACGACCTTGAGACTTGAGATAGGGGGTATACATTGGTTGCTTTTAACGTTGTAGTGGCCCAGGCTGGACATGACCCCCCCCAAAAAACCATCTGCAAGAAAGTCGCTGCGCAGTTGCAACTCTGCAATCTGTGCGAACGCTCTCGAAACAGAACCCCGATGTATGTGATATGATATGCGTAGATATGCGTAGATCAAAATCGAAATTAAATGCTGCCACAACTGGAATGGGTGGATTCTCTTCAGCGTTGGAGCGCGGAGACATTCCACCGGCAGCATCGGGCAGTTTGATCCGATTCCGAGTGAAATCATGTAAAAAATTGGATCAGACTCGACCGGCCCAGCAGACGCGACGTTCATTTTGGCTGATAGCTTTGAAGCGTTTGCTGGTCGACCAGAACATGCGAAAAGGAACAGCGGATGTTTTTTGACCAACCAGTTCAGAGGTGGGGAATATGCAGTCCCCCAGCAGTCCTGCTGCTGCCCTTCCTTCAGGGCTGCTTTGCGTGGGGAAGATGAGGATTTCAAATGAATTTTGCATCGTTTCCTTGACTCCTGAGCCACACAGAGTCACGAGGGCTTGGACAGTCGTCCCGAAGGCGCAAGGGAACTTCTACAACCAGGTGTTTAAGACCCACCAACCCGCAGAGAGCCAGAATTTGTCGTCCGGCGGGGTGCGAATAGTTGCTCTTTGTCAGATGGAATCATGTGGAGGGTGGGGTAGAACAACCTTGTATCAAAGGTTCCAAAAGTAGGTGCCCGTAGAAGAGCCAGTCAGTTCACATGTGTTTCATTGTTTTTCCAAAGGGTGGCTTCCTGAGAAACAGCTGTCAATCTACAGTTATTCTTTGGAAAACACCTCCGCTTGACTCTGCAGATATGTTTGGTGAGCTTGATTGATTCTCGAGACCCACCTCCCGACCTTTTTGTTGACCCTACGAAAGGGGTGACACCATGAGATCCAAGGAGCTTCTTGACGAATGTTCAGACAAAGTGCCGAACCAACAACTTCAACAGTATCTTGCTCATTATATTGACCTCTTTGGATAAAAAGGACAGTGACTCCGTCTCTGAGGTTCAACCAAAAGAGTGTCACCGTGACCACCGTGACCACCGCGGCAGAACCGGCCGGTGGAACCGTCGGCCGGGGCCGAGCAGGCCGGATGGTGTCCTTTTCAGGCGCGCCCTGCCGGTGGCAGATGATATGAGACACACTTGAGACACATACGTAGTAGCAATGCATCGCTAGTAACAAGGGCATTACTACTAACAAGAAGCCACAAGTAGGGAATTTCTATTGAACATCATGTGATATGGATTTTTGGGAACCGATGTGATGAGAGGGGCGCCCTTTTTACAACGTCCAAGAGATCAACATCCGTTCCAACAAGTGTTTTTTGTTCAACAAAATGTGCGACCCATCCTGTGAGTAAATCCCAGAAGCCCAACTTGGAACGTTTGGAACAATTAACTTTCATTCATCAAATCCATGACAGGGCACCGTCCTGTCATGATGTGTCATGTGTATTCTTTTCTATATATATATATGAATGTCGAAGAGATCAACACCCCGACCAGTTAAAACATGTGTTCTTTTTCAGTTCAGGGCCTTCCTTGGCGGTCCAAACCTTGGCGAGCGGTGACTGATTTCAGGACTCGCAGCTGGCACCACGAAAGGTTTCCAATCTCGTACGGACAAGCCCAAACGAAAGCGGTTTTGCGGAGGGGTGTTGGGTGCAACATCTCACATACCCAGACCATCCCATCAGAATGTAACAAGGGCATTGCTATTTGTAACAGGTGCATCGCTACGTTCGTAGGAAGAAGCTACTAGGGCTCCTGGCATTACTACTAGTAGCAAGGACGCTACTAGTAGCTAGGGCATTATGGAATATATACCGACATCCTGAGCCCTTCGTCCAATCTGCAAAACCGTCCGTGATCGGATCGAGCCATTGGTTTCCAACGAGGCGTTTGACCTTTAAAGAGTCGGGTTCGTGGACTAAAGGTTCCGTCTACTAGGCCCTGGACTCCTGGGCAAGGACACTCGTCCGGTCAAAGGGTGTATGGAAAAGGAGGTGAAAAAGCTGTTCAGGTCTCGACATAAGGTTAATTTCCGCATTTGGATGTGCCAATGCTTGCAAACTCCAAAAAGTCAATAATATCCTTACGGTGTCCCAGGGGTGCAGCAGATAACAAAACACCTGAAAACCTTTGAAATCTGCCATGCTTTCACAGCCCATGTGATTCGAAGTAATCCAGGCGAGAATTCTAGAGAACCCGGACCTGGTCCCTCCAGTCTCCACTCTCTTCCCGGCACCGGTTTCAGCAGTCCCTCCACGGAACCGCTCGGCCGCACGCTTTCTTCAGCGACATGTGGCCAAATGCAGGCAACAGCAGCGGAAACATGAAGCCTGCTGCAAGAGGTTCATCCTGAAATGTGATAGGTGGTCACGGCCCAGAAGTACTAGAGTTACTAGAGGATTGCTGTGCATGGACACATCCAGAGGAAAACTACTATTGTTCAACGTCAGATCTCGTTCAACATGAAGAATAATGAAATCAAGCAAATTAAGAAACCAAAAGCGCTTCTCCACCTACAAACTCCAGTGTTGGACCTTATTTCATGTCAAGAATGCAAGCCAAGCCGTCATTCCATCCGTTTGCCAAGTAACTGGGCTCGGGATCTTGCAATTTCACCTCACCCAATCAACCGCTCTAGAAGATCTCTACTTTTTGGATCATCCGATCGTTGCTTGAGCCATGGAGCTGCCACTCACTCGCTGCATTTCGCCGTCGAGCCAGGCAAAAAACCAGCGGTTTTGATCATTGGAGAACCAGTGGTGGTCAAGTTGGAGAAAGGCTTCCTGCGACTAGAAGACTGCAACTAATGTGTTGTTTGAACGGATTCGATACACTCAATGCACTTGTAATCACCGGAACTGACGTTCACCGGTGTTCCCCATCTTCGACCCCGGACGGAAGCCCTCGCAATCCGGTGTTCGACTTTCGCCTGACGCCATCCGCTCCGGGGCTTTGATTAGACACCCCTTTTGAGGAGGCCTTGGAAGCCAACTTTGATCAGGTGGGGTCCATTGCTGAAAGGCATGAGCTTCCATTTGGCATGGTACATGCGGATGTGGCAGATGCCACTCTTTTAGTCTTAATCGGCAGCTTCGAAGAAGTCTGATGAGGGGAGATTTGCGAGGTCTGACCGATTCCGAGAAAGGACGCCAAAGGCATCCAAAGCCAGAAACACATTATATTATATACATTTAATATATTTGCAATATCATTTAACTGCTGATAATAGTTGTATATTGATGATAGATTGTTCAGCTTCCAAGTTTGAAGTCCTACTGCCAACCTCATTTGACTTGCCTTGGATCACCCCTCTTTCTTTTTCATGTTTAGTTTAAACTGCCTTCAACCGCTCCGCAATCGCTCCGCCGACCATGAACCCACGGTCACAGGCTCCATCGCGGCCCTCCCGACCCCGCGCAGCGCGCGCCGCGCCGCCGCGCGGTGGAGACACCGAGCGGCGTTGGGCAGCGGCCGTGCTGGCGGCGTCGCTGGGCTGTGAGAGGCGGAGGCGGTGGAGGAGGGGATGGGGATCAGGTTGGCTGAGACAAGCCAGAGTGGCAATTGCCAGCATTGCAACTTTAAGAAGTGGTTCCGCATCCTCCATCCACTCAAAGACCCCAACGTTTGTGTCGTTCTCGAGCACAGTCGCAATCATATGCCGGAATGGCTTATTCCTTTTTGTTGGAACTCTTACTGGTAACAGGAAAAGGTGGTTGGAATGTCTTGGTTTGGATTTCGGATGATTTTGGAATGCTTTGAGCCTTTCCCTTGTCCTTTTTCCATGTTTCCAACCACCCAGGCTCCACCAGGCTACGCTCCCAGGTGTTTCCAACCAACAACATCACGCACTCGACGACATCGCACAAGGGTCAGGCAAGTTGGGCAGACCTTGGGTGGAGATTTTACCCAACATCGGTCTGGTGTTCGCATAATTGTATGAAAAGCACACCTTTGGGGGATGATAGGGAAACGCCTCAGTGTGTAATGATCATTTGGTGATCTCTCAAGACCAGTTCTTGAGCAGTTCTTTGCCTTTGGGATGGTCTAAACCCTCGGCTCATGCGGTTTGCTATAGGCAGATGCTGGGCCATGTCGAGCATCATGTGTTGCATCTATTGTCCCAACGATCAGGTATTTTGGACTGTACAGGGAACCCATGAGATAGCTATCAACCGTTCTTTTTTCCGTATACCACATCAAGAAACACCAGCATGGATTCGCTGTTTTAATTCATCTGATTGCATTGGTTTGATTGCATTGGTTGTACAGTTGATGGATGGATCTACACTCACTCCCTCACTCACTCACTTACTCACTTGCTCATGGTTTTCATGTGTCGAGAGGAAGCACTTCACCTTGACGCAGCCAGGCGTTTTCGTGCGGTGGGTGCCGTCGATGAGGTTGAGACGAAGATCCGCGCCAGGCCCAGTGCAACGGCGGATCAGCGGCTTTCAGTTTAGTTTTGACTGACGTTTGGCTGTTGGAGCAGGTCTTGGTTTGGTGTATGGCCGCTAAGTACCGTTTGGTTTTCAGCAGGTCCTGAAGGCCTCTTTTTCAGAACGCCGATGTTTGGCGCCTGAGAACCGCTCCGAATGAAAAAGTGGATCCAACGGAGAAAGGCCGTCCAGGTCACCATCTGAAAATCGATACCTCTCCCAGGATCGTTTGGGACTGAGACCGTGATGTTTGACCCACGGGGTCGGGCATGTATGCGGCCTAACCCAGGGTAATTGATGAAGGAATAATGAGAATATAGTGACTCTTAAGACCAGTTATGTTTCTGGTTGGGTGTTGAATTCATGGGTTTTTTTTGCATGTCCTTGCGAACTGACATGCATCCGCAGTCACCAGTCACCACTCCGACCTGTCTCTCGGTCTCCGACACCCAGGCGGCGGCCACCGGCCGCCGTGATGTCCAAGCGCACCACGCTCACCGGAGCACCCAGCCGGGACACCGGCCTGTCAGACCTCGAGGGTCCCAGGGGTTAAGGAATCGAAGAAGTCATTTGAGCGGAGTTGGAAGGAAGAACCGAATCGCTAAGAACATGAGATTCTACAGAGATTCTGTGAGACTTGGTCCAAAGGTGCAACATGGAAACTTCCCTCCACTGGAAATCACATAGGTTTCCAGCATCCAAATTGGAAACCTAATGGTAATTTGGGTTACCCTGCAAGAATTCCTAAACCACATGTTGGTCCAGTTTTGGAAACGTTTGCCCAAACCCTTGGGTTTAGGTAATGACCATGGCTGGGCCCAAGGTAGAACAAAAACGATACAAAAACAATTTAATAATGCATGGAAATTACTTTTCTTAAGCTCTTGGAAGCGATGAGGAGGAAAAGCAATGTCCCACGGAGGATTTTCGCCTCTCAACAAGATTCCACAAAAGTAGGAAAATAAAGCTCAGGCCTCAAAGGAGTGATTTCACAGGTGAAACAAAACATAGTTTCAACAGTAGTTCCAACATAGAAGCATGACTCACCTCTCTTCACTTTGTTTCTGGGCTTTTGCATGGCTTTGAGTGCTTGGAGGGCACTAGTTGTCTTTCCATCACCCATAGCTGGCATCGCCGTCTTCCCTCGTCTCTCCGAGGTCTTCTGTCGCTGGAGCAGTGTTTGGCGGAGCATCGCTTCGAGCCTTGGAGCGGTCGCGACCCGGTCGGACCTGGACGATTCCCACGACTTCCGTGGAAGCTGTTGAGGGCTGGAGGCAGTCGACTGCGAACCGCGGCAAACCCGAGCAACATGGAAGACACGACTTCCGAAGGACTGGGAAAGGAGGCCCTTGGGACGCCAAAAGGACGCAGTTTCTTTCTGGTTTCTCACCTCCACCACAAAATTTGCCGTTTTTCCACCTTGTCAAGATGTCATAAAGGCAATAACAAATAAAAACGATTGTGCTGTTTCGGAGAATTAGTGGGTGGGAGGGGTTGGGGTGTTTGGGGTAGAAACCGCGCTTGGGTTCATTCTCCGTACAAGCCCGGCGGCTATTGGAGCAGTTATAACCCAGTGGTGAGAAGAAGTCGGCTAAGAAAATCCACGGAAAGAAGGGACCGAAAAGTCTGTTACACGATTTCCAGCATGGCTTCAGCGCCCCAGTGACGGGGATCACACCCAGCACCCAAGTGGGACGGCTGAGCGGTTCACACTCTGACATTGGTTTTCGGTTAACTCAATTCCCAAGTCAGTGGAAAAAAGGTGAGAGAACTGCATGGCGAAAGGTCCAGGAAAGTGTAGGTGTTTTATCAAAATAGTTTTCGCACTTGACTGCGGAAGGCGCACAGCAGCAAAGCGGCTGCAGGTCAGCGGTGGGAAAAGGTTTAGGGGAGGTATCGTGGAACCACCATGGAAGCAAACAAGAGAGATTGGAACAGCGTGGGCAAAAGTTCAATATAGTCGCAGGTGCGCGGTACGCCAGACTGATCAGGTCTGGCTTCACTGCCAATTGCAAGCGTCTTCGTTGGCAGGAGACTTGCAATGGCACTCCTGCCCCCTGTATTGAAAAGTGATTTGGTGATTTGGTGGTGAACAGCCCTTCGGGACAGGGTTTGACACACACACACACACACGCAAAAATCACTCGCAGGGCCGCAGGGGTCCCAGGGTGAGTGGATCAGATCTGCTCAACCCACTCACTTCCTCAGGAAGAAGCGGATCAGATCACCCGAGACTTGCTCTTGATCTTTGGAGGGCCAGAGCCACTCCAGCGGGGCTACCTGAAGCCTGAAGAGGTGGATCGGAACTTCTGGATGAAGATGGACATGTTTCATTCACTGCATGATTTTGTAGAGGTTTGGGCAACTGACCAGCGCGAACGTGGCTTCGCACCTGGGTTCTCTTTGATGTGTCTTAGCATTCTTGTCCATTGTCTTGATTTTTGTTCCGGCAAGCCAGACTTGGGCCTCGGACAATGATTGAAACTGGCTAGCTTGGCCTCTGAAGTGGCTTTCGTTCCGACTCCCTCCAGCTCGGGCCGTTTCTGAGTCCCTCCGGCTCGGCCGATTTCGGGCGAACAAAAAGGCGACCATGGAGGAAGTCCTAGGACGTATGTCCTCTCTCGTTTTGGCCTCCAAAGGGGCTAAAGTGACAGTGACTTTTTGATACTTTTTGTTCGGCCGCGGCAGGTGGCTCAGATCTCAGAGGAAGAGCTGCGGCGAGTGGTCGCTAGGCCCGGTCAGCGGTGACCAGTCTGTACCTGCCCGGGTTTGGGCGCCGGTCACCGAGGGAATTGTGTCTCTCTTTTCTCTTGGAGTCCTACTGTAATTATGGGGTCCTGGTCTGTACCTGTTCAATTCGATCGTGAGGTGGAGCTCACACCTTCAGAAGACAAGAGAATAAACTGGGCGTGTTTTTGTTTGGCAGTTGTTTCGCACAGTTCTGTGCCCTTGTGAAAGGGTTTGAAGGGGACGTGGGATTGATGGAGAAGTTGCTGTTTCTCCAACACCTCCCCTAATTAGCCACTCTTGCCAAGAGAAATGGGCCTTTTGAATCCTCCCATGTTTTGGGCACTCGCAGAACTGCGGTCAGCAATCAGCGGATTCAAAAAGGGGCAGAATGGGGTTCGGGTCATGTCATGCCGCTTGTGGCCGCTTGTGTGTGTGGGCATTGTTTCCTCTTTGCTATGCTGTTATGTCGATTGTCATCCCTTGCAAGAAAGAGAGCGAGAGGTCGCGAGCGTTTTGAACGTGGAGTTGTGAATGCTGTATGTAGCCTCCTGTGTTTTTTGTTTTGATTTCATGATTGCTTCTCATGCGTTTCATGTTTCTATGTTTGCTTCGTTTGCTGATGATTTCTCTCATGAATTGAATGAACGCCCAAAGAATAAGTCGATAAGCGGAAGGAGAACAGATTTGCAGTATCCAAGCGGTATAATCTAGCTGTGAATCCCCGTTGCCTTTACAGGTCACTATAATAGGCTGGCCAGACAAAAGTTGCTCTTCTCGAATCTCAAACTCATTACGACCCTTACCCCCTAGAATCCTACGCTGGGAGACCTGGGAACGGGTGCGCGCTCACTATTCATACCGGGAAGCCCTTTATGTTACTATAGAAATGTAAAACGGTGTAATTGACCGTCCCACACCTGCCACAAAAATTGGACTTGGTAATTCGATTCGCAGCTGACCGAAGTCGCGCTTTTTGAACATGGTTAACAAACATAAACGAACTTGTTTGCCTGAAGTAGGTTCTGCGATCTTCGTGTCGGGTGACCGAGGAATCCGAAGGTTTCTTCGACAATGGGAAGGTTGGTATTAAGTAAAGCTTGCTGGTGCTTCACGATATGTTGATCTTTCAGCCAGCCAGCACCGAGGATGAGCTCTGGTCGTTGCACTCTGCCGGCCGCTTCGGTTACGCCGCACAAAGACGGAGGCTGGAGGAAGCAGGCAGGGCTGAGCGGTGCTGGTGGGTGGTCCCACTGCATTCCACCATGGTGGTTCAGCCGCCATGGTGGTTGTGACGCCGCATTTGTTCATTTTGGATGAAAAGGAAGGGAATGTATCTCTGACTCAATTACAGTCATGTTTGCGAAACACGAGTTGAATAGTTGCAGACCCCTTAGTAGATATATTAGATAGCAATTCATCCTCGAGAAAGCTTCAAATTGCCCTACAAAATGTGACCCTCACAGCAGGTGCCGATGCTTCCGATTCGATAAACCCATTCCTTTTCAGCCCATGGAGCCCCCACGGAGGGCAGCGACAGTCGGTCGCCATAAAACAACAGGATCTGGGTGGGTGCCTTTGGATGGAGAGTCTCATATATTGGTGTGCATTTTAGAAGGGAGACACATGGAGACATCCAAACCAGTGGTCGAACTGGGATTTTTTGGTCCCTTCTTTCAGGCGGTCTAACTGGGACGTTTGCATCTTTGTATCTTTTTGTAAGACACATAAACATCTTCTGATTCTATTGTTTTTTGCATCATTTTATTGAAAGGGGTCTGGCAGACAGGAGGGCTTCACACCTCCGGTGGAGCTCTCATGAGAAGTGTGACCTTCAGAACATCTCAAACGTGCTCCCGCGAAAATTGCACTTGGCTTGTCCTGGTACACTCGAGAGGACTTCCGCTTGGATCGGCGGAGCCATCGACCCCGAAGGGTCGCTGGTCGATCGCTTTTGGGCCTCAAACCAAGGCAGTTGTGGCCTGCAATTTGCCATATGGACGCTACCAACGGGGCTCCTGGCCTTGCTAGGAGCATTCTTGCAGGAACCAGGGGCATCGCTACGAACGGAACGATCGGACGCTACGAACGGGTCCAACTCCAGGCGCACACGGGGAGCCACACCCAGGGACGCCTTGCTTAACCGATACGCATTGACCCATACGTGGCTTTCCAGGGAGGAACCTAATAGTGGAATCCCCGACCATTTCAGCCCTTGCAGCCACGTGCAGCTTTCTCAAAACCACCTTGAGTGGCATGTTCCTTCACTTGCGAACTGAGGCTTTGTCGTATATTCACCACGCTAGTACACGTACAAGTGCTGTTTTTCTTTTGTTACTTGCCCGAATCCGGCCTGGCGTCGATGATGAAACTCGATGGACAACATGAACACATTGCACAAGGGACAATCACCCTGCTGTCATTTATGCAAACACCCATGAAACGTAGGTCCGTACCCACCGTACCCGGGTCTTAAGGCGGTGACGCTGAGGTGTTGAGTACAGGCATGTACAGGCAGGCCGGATAATATCATTCTGCGCTGGGGTTGGGTTCTTCTGTGTGTCCAAAGAAATGACTGAAATCATTAAGGGAAATTTCACAGGGTACAGTCTTACTTGAGGACGCCAAGCAAGTAGAGCAGACCCATCAAGACCCCGCATGGACGCGCACTTTGGGAATCAGAAGCCGACGATGATTTATGAGTTTTTTTTTTTGAACTACTCACGACATGTGTTTCACGGAGGACACCAAGTCATGGGGTCTCTTGAACTTCTCAGACTGAATCGCTACTTTACTTGTGCAGCGCCAGAACTTGCCGCGGTGAAGCGTACTATATAGCCTTGCTGTACTGCATTCAACTGCATCCAGACAAAGGCAGAGACAGCCACACGAACATTGTTCGAGTCAGCCACCTGTGTGTTCCTTGGCTGTCCTTTTGTGAGCATAAGTAGGTTGGTGCTTCATGTCAACACTGTAGGTTCTAAAGGGGCTCAATCTTTAGCAATGTCTTAGTGCCTCCTCTCCTTGACAGGCCATGACTTCTCCGAGTTCATGCAGAGGGTCGGCTGGTTACGCTCTGAGCAGGGGCATGAGGTGGGGAAGATAGGGACAGCAGTGGTGTCAGCCCAAAACTGTTGTCGATGAATTTGGACAGCGTTTGCGCCGCAAACGGGGTCCTCATATCCAATGTAAAGTTTGCGTTTCAATCGTAAGTTCGAGTGTGTACAGTCCTGACTGATTGAGCACAATGGCTCAGCTGTGGCTGCTCACGCAGCCCAGGTTAGTAAGTGATTTCTGGTTGTGTTTGTTTGTTTTTTCCCGCGGCTTGCCTAAAACCTGATTACGTGGTCATTTGTAGCCACGCTATGAAGCGTTCTCAGCAGCATTTGTGGTGGAACATGGTGGTTCGTGAACATCTTGCACATCTCTCGTGATCCAGTGCAGGTTTGTTTTGTGATTTGCTGGCCACTTTTGTGTGTGTGCTATAGTGCTGCAGGAGAAAAATGTTCATCCAAAAATGCAAGGTTGAAAGGTTTGTGAATCAATATGTCATTTTGTTTGTCAAACCTGTAGCATTGTACGACTGGATGTGAAAACAATCCCATGGTTCCCACTTTTGCAAATTTACCCATAGTTATTGAACTTGTCATGTTCAAAACAACTGGAATCAAATTGAACTGTTTTGGCCCATGATGGTTTGGATTCTGTGAACTGAAAGGAGATGGTTCCCGATTGAGTTGTGGGTCCTTCAAGGTTGACTGAAGTAGTGTGTCCGACATTTTTTTGATCACATGCACCGTTTATTCATTTATGATTTGCAAGTCATGTCGTCCACCAAAAGATACCAAAAGTATCCAAAAGTATTGAGTGTCCGACATTATTTTGGAACGATGATGCAAACCTTTTGTATATGTAGCATGCTGATATACTTTACTATTTTCCTCACGTTGTGCCGACCAAAAATACAACACGGGTATTTCCATGTATTTGTTTACATGCACCGTGGAAACGCTTCATATTGCGGTACAGGAACAGTTGCTGCGGTTTTGGCCTCGCCGTGACTTCGAGTACTCATTGGAAGCGCCCGAAGGTAGGACACCCAGAGGTTGGATGAGTGACAACGGGGTCACCGTGAACGTCCCGACTTCGACATCATTTCCGAGGGATGCAGACATTTGGCGGCATGTGCCGGGTGTGCTTGAACTAGTGAACTCGCCACCACACTCTCTAGCTCGGACATCCCTTCCTGTTTCACACGTAATGTGATTCCTTATATGATTCCTTTAAGTGTTGTCGTTCACGAGTCAGAGATTTGTTTGGTGCGTCGTGACGCAAGTCAACGTCTGCATCTGTGTTTGCCCTTTTGGTTTACTTCAGCTCTGGAGGTTAGAATTCATGGTGGTTGCGAGCCATTTCTTCCTGCTGGGAAGGGTGAGGGGGTCTTTGTGTTTGGGTTGGTATGGATTGCAGGGTGGTCGAATTCGGATTAGGCACAAGTCAACATTCACCAGAGTCGAATGTTGATGGTGCAATGGATTAAGCACCAGACGGCACTGGTCATTGAAGTCATATACATTTCATTTTCCAAGCCTCAATCGATGAAGAACACACTTGTTGGTCACGTCCATCCATGTCAAACAAGACACTCGTCGTAGGGTGCTGATTCACGCCGCCATTGCCCGTTGCAAACACTCCAAACAGTGCCCAAGAACTATCCAGCATTATTTACCTTTTAGACAGAACTCTCGACGATTCGATGTCTCTGTTTGAGGTCGCTTCTTCGGGAATCCTTTGGGTGACATCTGGTGGAAGGTATAGACATGCTTCAGGCGTTTCTTGCAGTTGTTGCTCCTCTTTTCATCAAAAGGCCGGGTCAACACACGCCGCGCTTCCAGGGCATTTGCCGTTGACGAACCTCATCCGCGGCAGGGACCTGTTGGTGTGCCTCGGTCAGTGGCGAGAAGATGTCGAGAGGTGAACAACCTCTGGAATGTGTTGCGACCAAAACGTGGAAGGAGGAGGCTTGCTGGCTTGGAAGATCCTTTGAGGCCCCACATTGTTCTCTCCAGAATTGATGTTATTTGATGCCATTCATTACAGGGTCTCTTCCTGGAGAAGTGTTCTTGATTCATCATTGTTCAATGATGTCAGTTTTCTTTGGGGTGACTGATTGATTCCCAAGCTTTATGTTCAAAGTCACCAGCCACCAGCCATGTTTCATCATTTTTCCCTCGCACTCCACGGCCGCAAATCACCGAAAAAGGATCGATCTACAGTGAATACAGACTAGCTTCTTGTTACTACTAGTAAGGCACTTGTTACTAGTAGCGATGCACTTGTTCCTAGTAGCTTCTTGTTACTAGGAAAACAAATCGATGAAGTTCGATTCACTTCGTTGAAGTTCTACTCCACTTTGCGGACTCCGTTTCCACGTGCGACGTTTCCGGACGTGTGTTTTCCTTCGATGAAGCCGAAAAACACCACGATCGTGAGCGATCTGAGAAAAGGGGGTGTTGAAGCCAGGCCCTGACACCAGGCCCCTCCATGCCCCCATTCGGACTGGAACAAGAACTGCATGCCGGTACCACCTTGATCCCTTCTAAGTCAACCAGCCCAGAGGCCTGATCCCAAGTCTTATAAGCCAGTGGCATGTGCTTCACATGAATGGATGCAACTCCTGGGGTCCTTGGCAGGTCGTCGGGGCACCGGACCTGGACTGTGAAAACGACCAGTGATGGTTGATTGAAAAGTGCTCAATGATGGTCAATGTAGGTGTAAGTATACGAATTACTATTCCAATCTCATGGAGCCTTTTGGATGTTTGTGTTTTCTTGTTTTGCTCACCTCCGGGGCTTCTGCATTCTGCACTGCTTCCGCCCTGGGGAAGCTGAGCTCCTTGCTGCAACACCCGGCTTTTTCGTCCAATGGAGCTAGACAAGGCTCGGCCTTCAATCGTTTTGGGGTGTTTTGCAGGTGTTTCCAGCGCCTTCCAGTTGTCGATGTTTGTTAAAGGTCGTTTTTTAGTTGGTTGATTGGCTTGAGTTCATTTATGATGCTCATCATGTTTTTTGTGAGTTTCCGTGGTGAATCCCAGTTCCCATCCCATCCTTCACCCGATCGAAGCCGGCCACCTCCGAAGCAGGCAGGCCAAATGGAGTAACCGAGCAACCTGAAGAAGACCCCTGTTTTGATTGGACCGTTGGACCATATACTGTAATATGTTTTTGGTTGGGGTGGCTGGTGGTGGCTGGTGGTCCAAACTAGAGGTCACTCAGGTTCCAGATAAAGAGTTTCGTTTGACCCTTACTGGCTTTGAGGAACATGTTTTCACCTCTCAAGCTAGAACTCTGCTGTGAATTCCTTTGCACTGAAATATGCCAAACCCTTGGCGACGAGACTTGGGCCACTGGAGACTTGTCCGCTTTTAACATGTAACATTTGGGTTTGTCCTATTACCTGTAACAGTCAGTGAGCAATTATCACATATTATCACTATTTTGGAACAAGGCCTTTACTAACCATTATCATCCACTGTTGCTGGTAATAGAATAGACCCAATATATGTATATAACCTTATGTTGTAATTTGCAATATGTTCCGGATTGATTTCATTCAAGATATATGTCCTCTCTTGCCAATATAACTTCCTCTGAGGTGGTATTCCTTCTAGTTGGATACCCCCGTAGAGGAAGCACAACCATCGCCAGTGGAATTTGATCGACTCTTGAGACTTGCTGCACAAGTGCAGAACTGTTCCGCTTGGCCGAGGCCTTTGTTTTTCCAAATGACCGGACCCATGTGAGTCATGTGGAACCTTTTTAGACGAACACCATAGGCAGTCGGATCCAGCGGTGGCTTATCTACGCACCGATACAGCGGTACGGAGGAGTAGCACCTCCACCTCCACGGAAGTCGGTCAACGAGGCGAACGAGGAGGAGGCCTATATCGGGGAGGGAGATGCATGGAACTGCAGACATGGGAAGCCCAAGTACCATGAAGTACCTGAGAAAACAGTGAGTACTGAGTATAGTGAGTATAGACAATTTTTCTAGGGTACCATATACCTAATGGAAGGTCCACGCAGGTCATTGTGACCTGCTCTAAGTCAGGAGAATCTGGAGACCTCCAGGTCGTTTGGTTTTGTGTGAAGCTTCTCCAAAAGCTTCAAGGTTCATGTCAAAGGTTCCAGGAACAGGTAGATGAGGACCATGTCAGGGAAGCTGTGTTGGTTTGCTTGTGAAACCCTCAGATTTCACACACCCTTTCCGAGGTAGATTGACACATCCTTTTCCTATATATATAGAACTTTTGAAATCCTCAGCCTTTAAATGGGTCTCGAGGATGGGGTGAATGCTTGAAGCCCGAACGAAGGCCCGGGTTTGGGCATGGTACGAATGCTTCCAAGAATAGAATAGTGGAAAAATGGTGATGAGCAAAGCTTGCATGAACGTGCTACCGCTTCGACTTCTTCAAGGATCATTCATAAATCAAACATCCATGTGCTTCTATACCTTGCTTACAAGTTGTTTTCAGCCATGACTTCCGAGACTTCCGAGCCGAGTTTGCCAGTTTGATGGTCTGACGATTGCCGTTACCGCAGGTGGCGCCTGTGCCGGAAATCGTTTCCTTGTTCCGTTGAAGCCAAAGGGAATGGAAGCACAGAGTCTCGAGCCTGAGCAGACAACAAGAGACATGCGCCAAAGCGAAAACTGCTAAAGCCTCGTTCTGAACCACCAGTGTTTAACTGCTGAGTTCCTGAACCCGAAACCAAGCCCGGAGCTCTACCCTCGAACCAGCGGAGCGATCCGCTCCGGGTCCTGAGAGGTACGTTCCTGGTGGGCCAAGCTCATTGGGGCAGCGGATGAGGAAGAGGAGGCGCCTTCGTAGCTGGTTCCGTTCGTAGCGATGGGAGCTCCGTTCGTTTTCGGGGATTGTGGTGTTCATCCTGCGCCCACGCGTTGTGTTCGCCACGCGTTGTGTTCACCGTAACGCATTGCGCCAAAGGAGACGCCACATGAGGACACCTCCACTGCAGCTGAAAGGCAGGCGACGAGACGGTACGGTTTTGTGTTCAGAATGCGATTGACAGACCTTTGGATTGTTTGAGAGTGATTTTGTTGGGGTCTTAAAGAGGAACTGTCTTTTTTGTGTCAGCTTGGTGTTGCATCGAGCCTGTGTCTCACTGTCTTCATGGTCGATGCCCTTTACTGAGCCAGCTTTTGCTCCCAGAGACATGTTTTACCTGTGGTGTGCAGGTGTTCCGTGGGAGTAACAATGGAAGCGGCCAGGAAACAGATCTAATAGCAAAGTGTTGATGTTCAACAGACAAGCTTTTTGTTTGGTACAAAGTGAAACGGGTTCATTTCAACAAGTGCTCATTTAAGAAAAAAACACTACAACTACTCAAAAAGAAAGAAGGCATGAACCCTCTCGTATCCAACCTATATTGGGGAGATTTGCAATTGTTCAAATTGCATGCATTTTGCGGCGATTTGTGCGAGTGTTGCGGGTTTCCACCCCTTTGACTCTGGCCCAAGAAAACTTTATGTTTCAGCTGTTTAAAGAAACAGTCAAAAACCTGCAAAGTTCCCAAAAGCACGCATTGCATCAAAACACACTACAAGAGTCCAAAAGTGCTCAAACCCTAGGTGTGCGGAAAAAAAACATGCTGCAATTCAGCACACCACAAAGTTAGTGCTTCATGTTTCCATGGATCATATATGCTTTCATGTTTCCAGCATAGCCCATAAAGGATCCATAAGGCGCAAGACCCGACCACCAAGCAACAAAGAAAAAGAACCGACCTTCCGGTCCCTCAACTGGGCCCCGTTTCCACGGCACCGAACATGCCCGCGCCTCGAAAAAAGGTCCTTCGCTGAGAGCTTCGAAGAACGTCAAGGCGACACTCGCTTCAGGACTCGCTTTGGGCACTGTGGATGCGTGATGCGCCAAAATGCGCCAATCCGATCCAGACCTTACAAATTCCATTCTCTTTTGGGTACCAACACCAGGTCGAAGGACCTCTCCCAGTTGCATAGTGTGCCCCGCTCGAACTCGAACTCGAACTCGAACTGAAACAGTTATACTTACAGATGAACTCAACCCTGAAAGGATATGGAAGGAACCGAACTCGAACTCGAACTCGATCTCGAACTCGAACTGGAACAGTTAGAAGTCAACCCGGTGGACGCATAGCAGGAGTCGAACTCCAAAATCGCTGTCGTCGATTCGAATTCGAATTCGATCTCGAACTCGAACTGGTTCCCCCCCCGGGGTGTAAACATTTTCGTCGATTCTCGAATTCGAATTCGAACTAATGCTACGTTGTAATGGCTCCTTCCTATTCTAAATTTAACCCTCGAATGGCCCACAACAGGAATGCTTCCTTGTAATGGCTCCTTCCTGCTATAAATTTTACCCTCGGGTGGCCCACAAAAGGCATGCTACGTTGCAATGGCTTCTTCCTTTTCTAAATTTTACCTTCGAATTGCCCACGAAAGGGATGCTACGTTGCAATGGCTTCTTCCTACTCTAAACTGTATCTTCGTGTGGCCCACAAAAGGCATGCCACGTTGCAATGGCTTTTCTTCTTCCTTTTCTAGATTTATATATATATATTTCGAATGGCCAGCACAAGGAATGCTGCGTTGCAATGGCTTCTTTCTATTCTAAATTTTACCCTCGGATGGCCCACAAAAGGGATGCTATACGTTGTGGTCAGTTGGTTGGTTGCTGCTGGCGCCGCTGGCAGGTGGCTGTTGTTTGGTTGGTTGGTTGGTTGGTTGGTTAGCAGGTTTTTTGCCGCAGGGAGTTCACACTAAAATGTTGATTTCGTGGCAGGCGCGGGTTTTGGAGATGAAGTGCAGATTTCGTGGCGCGGGGGGGGTTGGGGGGGTGCGCAGCCCCCCCCCCAGCAGCACACCAGACCCCAATAAAACAAGTTAGCTGCAAAGATGAGACTGCGCAGCGCGGATAATTTCAAAAGGTTGATTGCTTTGTTGCTAGCTTGGTTGGTTCCTGTTCTTCTTCTTTGTTGTGGGTCGTGGCGATTGCTGTTGTGGTTGTTGTCGTTGCTGTTGGTCGAATCTGCGCATCGAACTCGAAATCGAACCCGAACTCGAACTCGAACCGGTCCACCCCCCCGGCTCTAATTGTTGTCGATCCGAACTCGAACTCGAACCGGTCCACCCCCCCGGCTCTAATTGTTGTCGATCCGAACTCGAACTCGAACTGGTCCACCCCCCTCTCGCTCGAGCCACGCACTTGCGCATCGAACTCGAACTCGAACTTGCACTTGCACCCGAACTCGAACGGGATCATTTAGAACCACCTGGGGCACGGCCTGCCCAGTTGGGTACCCCACTAATATTTTGGGTCCTAGTTCAGGTCACAGGAAACCTCTCTTGGTAGAAGGGGTCTTCACTTAGTGTCTTCCAAGTGCGAGACTCTCAGGGAGTGCTTTCAGCCCGCTGCGAACCTCAACGGGCTTGATGGGCTCATGATACAGAACCTCAACGGCAGCCTTGTAGAATTGCATCTTGAGTTTGAGAAACTCAATTACATGAGTTCCCGAATCCCTCTAGTCGCTGTAAGAATATGTCGGAGTAACAATGTTTAATTTTCAAAGTATGTTTCCTTTTAACATATAGTTTGCAAACTGCATGTCTTGTGGCACTTGGTCACCACATGTCACAACAGCCGTACAAACCCAGTGCTGGCACGCACCTGGCACGCTGAAAAGAAGGGTTACAAGGGAGAAGACGTCAGCGAAAACACAGCGTGTTTTATCATCTACGCAATGTTGACCGTTGATGATAATTATAACATTCTTCAAGCACCTGGCTCTTTATCTCCAGGCATGGGGAGTTTGATCAATCAAGAGTCAACCTTACTTTTGCCGCCACAGATTCCATTCGTTTCAAAAAAGGATGGTGTTGATGTTCATCAGCCAAGTTTCTTCTAAATCTCTCAGTGTGAGGCTCCACCGCCTGTCGTTTGGTGGACCAGTGTAGTTCCAATGTAGTTCCTACATGTTCCAAGTAAGTCTTGGCCAGAGCCATTACTGGCTTCGACTGAGCGAGACGCACAGCCAGCGAGGATCACGATGATCACTGGCTTCGAATCCTTCAATGCGCGGCTCTACCGCAACGCCGCCAGGCAGTGGACATGAAAGCCTGCTGTGCGGGCACGGATGTGGGGTCGTTGAAAGCCGCCAGGTGGACGTGCTTTTGGCAGTCGGGTTGATGCTTTTGGTCGGGGATAGCTTTTTGGTGAGTTGGTGTATGCATGTGAGTATGTGTGGCTTTGCACTTGGGGCTCAAATCACCAACTTTCAGTGTCATTCAATTTCTTCCAGGACCCAAAAAGCAAGATTCTTGTGGGTTGCAGGCAGGTGTTCGCAAGTTACGAGTTCAGCTTTCGAATCCTATCCACAGCATAGCCAGCGTAGCTTTGAGTCGGGCGCGCCAGCCATAGATACAAGGAACCAGAATAACTTTATAAAGCAAAAAAACAAAATTTGGTCATTATAGGGCCTCATGTTGCATAGTGCTGTAAATCAAAGAGGCTTGTCCAATCTACAAGTCAAGCTACTTAATGAATCTTAATGATATTCATTAGAGTTTAGTTTTTATATGTTTTTTTTCAATCTGAGGACATCACCAAAGCTCGAACGAGCCGGGTTCTTCGAATTCTTCCCACTAAGCTCCCCGTGTCTCGAAGATCGCTTCGAGCTGGCGATCGCCGCAGGGAAGCCATCCTTCCAGGCCTTTCAGTGTGTGTCTTCACAGACCAGGCACGCACCCCCGCCAGCGCCGGCATCCGCTTTAGGGATCAGAGAGAGCGTGCAGCGTTGAGCGGATATAGCGCTGGAATAAGTAATTCGTCCCGATCTGAACGACACTGTGTGTTTCCTGCTGGAATGCGCCATGAAGCAAGTGCCAGACAAATAGTTATATATAAGGACAACTCGAAAAGTGCAGCACGTATCGAAACGTGACAACTCTGTCTCACCAGCTTCGCACTACGTTTGCCTTCCTCCCGTAGGTGGCACCCCCAGTTCAAGAAGCACCATTCTTGGTCCCTGGTTGATCACAAACCAACAATTGTCGTCAATTGTCATTTATTTTGCAAAGTGAGGACCCGACAGCCACCTGACAGCCTGACAGATGTCCTGACAGAATCAGTGCAGGTCCAATTGGAGCAGAAAGGAGACCACTATAATGAGTCATAGTCAAAACATGCGAATACAACTTTAGTAAAGATGGGTAAGTTTGTGCACAAAGCCCTGTAAAACGATGAGGTCCACCTCAAAAACGATAACCCCAGCATCCGTATGTAGCGGACTCACAACACTGTAAATCGATGAGGTCCAACTCAAAACCGATAATGGCCCTTTGAAAAAGAACAATCAGTTTTGACCGTGGCTCATATATTGCAGCCAACAAAGGCTACGGGGGACCCTGCGTAGCCTCGATAGTGAAGTAGTCATGAATAACCTTGCATGAGCCAGTTAATTGGCTGACATGAGTGTTTGGCCCCCTGACATGAGTGGAAGAATAGAGGGCTTACTCTAAACCCCCTAAAACCATCCCTCTGGAGCCATGGAATGTTTGAAGCCAGAAACTTGGACTCTTTCGACTCTCAGACAGCGAACAAACGACCACATGGCTCACTGCCTGCTACAAACCGAAGCCGACGCTCCAGAAAACATTGAAGAGGTACTGCCTGTCCTTTGAAGAACAATGGCACGTCATCCAACGTGTTTTTGCACATTGGATGGAGGGGACTGTCAGTGTGTGAAAAAGAAGCAATTTCAACCTGTCTCTCCCTGCATCAGACTGCTTCGATTTGGGATTCGGATTGCATTGGTCTTCCCATGATTTCTCGGATTCGGCTTCCAGAGAATGGGCAGAAGCTAGTACTGCCTGTGTTTTTTCCCCACCGCCAAAGCTCCTGAGGATCATGTGTAAAATACCACATGCCTTTTGGCCTCGATGATCCTACAGATGAACTGTTTGAGTGAGCTCTGGGGATGTCATTCAAACTCATGCCGGATATATACTACAGGGTAACGAGGTGTTTGTGTTGGAGCTCTTGGACCGCGTTTGCAAATCACCACAATCAACCGCTGCCGCCGCTGCTAGCTGTGAAGTTGGGTTGTCGCAGTTTGCCGAGATTCCAGCGATGCACCCAAGGCCTTGGGCCAGGCAATGGTCAGGTCACACAGACTCACTGGATGCTGACGCTGGCCTTTGACTCGCGTCACGGCCAACTAACTATTATAGGGGCAGGCATCCGAGCGAAGTGATACCTGACAGGGTCACAAACCTAAAAGCTGACGAGGTTGGAAGAGGGCACAGCTTCAGCAGTGGGTGCAAGTCAGCTTGGCAGGGCTGGATTCACGCACTGGCATTGGATTTGGGCGCGCGAGTGTAAGTGCAAGCGGCTCCAACCCAGACACCGCTGGGCCAGGATATTGTTGAACGAAGAGAAGTCGTGCAACAAGTTCTGAGAGAGATGCTTGGCAAAGCTCTGGGAGACAGCTCCCCCAAAGGTATGGAAAATCTAACCATGAGCACCTTTGTGCTAGGGCTTTGGCGGGCATCAAACGTGTTTCAGGCGGCCAGGCGAGGTTCCCTTGAACACTGTGTTTTGGTTTGGTCACTGCGGGCTTCGCCGCAATGGTTTAGTCAAACACATGCCCTGCATTTGGGGCACATGGCAGGCGCTGTGCTTTGGTACCAAGGTGGTCAGCATTGCGCTCAGCGTTTTTCATCTTGTCGATCAAGTGGACTGTGCAGTGATGTTAGAGATTTAACACTCCTGGTTGAAATGCCCTTGGTTTAGCTTGCAGCCCTTCATCCATTGTCGCACGGGAGCCTCGACTTGGACGTGCGAGGTCGAGAATCGACCATATAGTGCAGCCAAACATGTACATGTTCAAAGCGTGGTTTCCTGAACTCAGTCCTTTGGTTCTCATGTTCGGGTTTCCGATCCTATGGATTTGAATTTGGTACGCCGTATCCACATGTTCAAGGTTGTCCTTCTTTGACGTTTTGCGGGTTTCGGTCTTGGGTCCTTCGACGTTGTTTGCACTGAACTTGGTTTCCTCTTGATCGGTCCCAATTGTTTGTTCATGGATACCCGCAACTGCATTTGAAGAGGTCTTTGAGAACAACATGTTTTGCAAACCAGATGGTCCGGAACATTTGCGCGCTCCATGAGGGTGATAAATATATTTATATTAATATATATATATTCTTAGTTTTCCACGGATCAACATCAATCCTACATACATCTCCATTTTTGGCCGAATCAGCAACAACAACGCATAGAAACTATGCATCGAAGTTGCAGACAACCTGTGGCTATATTATAAAATAACGTAATTAGGCCAAATGGCTCCAGAAAACGGTTTGGATGTTGTGCACAGGACAAGTAGAACAAATAGAGGATTCCATCTCTGCATGGGGCATTTGTTGAGTGTGGACACAAAATTGATCAACCTTGCCCCCAATCCTCCCGTCGTTTGCATGGCACTGTTTCGCTGTGCTAAGGACGGACGTTTTCTTCTGTTCTTTGATCTTCGACTTTGACCAGGTACAGCATCATGGCCGGTTTTGATTCGGCACAGACGTATAGCCATGGCATGGGTCGAGTCCCACCAATCGTTGTGATTCCTGTGATTTGGTGTCTGGCTTTGCAGGCAGAATGGCTACGGGAACAATGCCAAGACATCAAGGTGGGCAAATGTCGGTGCAAACATCTGTTCCTTCCCTTGTCCTTTGCGTTTCCACTCCCCATTCCAAAACCATCCAAGACCGCAGCCCAACTACGCATGGGTTTCCGAGCAGATCCGAGGAGGCAGGCAAGAACAAGAGGGAACAAGCGGGGTGGAACGCTTGGGGGTTGAAGCCACCTTGTGATACGTTTTTGTGTCGGAACTACTCAGATCCTCAAGACCCCAGCACCCCACTTGGCCACTGAACGGCGCGGCCGCCGCACGTATTTTTCGGGTGTTTTTTCCACACACCCTGTCGACCTCTGTGGAGAGGTCCGCATGATCTTCGAGTCGGCGGTTGAGCTCATGTCCTGTACACAGGCACTTTGCGGTTCCTTTGTCACAGTTCCAGCAAGATTCAGGGTTTGGTGTTTCTTTATTCGGTGAGAGGCATCGTTCTGTATAAAAGTGTTTGTTTATGACAAAAAGCTTCTATGCAGCTAGGCTATGCATGTGTATTTAAGGATGCCGATTTTCAGGAACCTCCTTGTTGACACGCACAGAGCCCTGGCCCTGTAGAAGATGAAATTATGTCCATTTCACATGATGGTCGGGTACTGTGTTTCATGGATCTATGTCGATTGGGCCGTCGGGGAACCAACGTCGACAGGAGGGAATACGTACGACCAAGGCAAATGCTCAAGCGTTGGTGCAATGAAGATGGGAGCTCTTTGGGGCAACCCTTTCGCATGAGAGATTTCTCCCAGCAAAGAGAAGAAGCCGTAGCTAGATGATGCCAGATGCGTCCTCTCCGAAAGCGATCTGCTTTCTTGACAAACCCCTGGACATGTGATCAACTCCTTCACCCAATTTGCCATGCCCTTCGTCCCACGCCCGTTTGCCTGTGGCAGGTGGGCAGCTTTCAGATGGGTGGCGGAGGTGGTGGAATGCCGCCCCAGATCCGCTCGATGATCTCTGCCTTGACAGGGCAACGGGAGGAGGGGTGTTCGGGCGGGTTTGGGTGGAGTTGGGTAGCCACAGATAGGGTCAAAACATGTCAAAACATCCCCCTTGATTGCTCCTTTATGAAATGCATATGTTTTGCATTTATGAAATGACCAAACAGGGTGGTCATTTCATAAAGCTGAACATTTCGATTTTCAGAAGATTCGCCAACATAACGATAGCATGTTCAATCTATATATAGAAAAATCAGGTTAGTGAAAGCTAGCCCTTCAATGCTGGCCGCATCAAATTGTAGAATAGCTTTCAAAGAAATGCTTAGCAAATCGTTTTATAGACACCTATTTTTTACAAACCAACTTGCCGCAGAACAAGTCACAAGCAAGGGGGATGTCAAAACATATATAAAATAGATAATAATAGCATCATTAAAGACAATCGGAAGATCAAGCAGTGGAACACGCGGTGAAGCGAGCAACCAGGCAGAAAAACATCCAAACACATCCGCAATTTCTATAGTCCAAAAGTGTTTGGCAACTTGTTGTTCTGCCTAGTGGACAAGGTTAAGGAGGGCTGACTGGTTTTTAAAAAGACGGACGGCCAGTGGCACTTCTCAATTTGTTGTCTATTTTCTTGGTCTCCTCAAAGCTGTGCCTGAAATGTTTGCAATCATGATGGCTGAGATCACTCAAAACATCTCAGAGCATCTTAGAACTAAGAATATCTGGAATCTTGCTTTCGGGGGAAACAACTGGGTTTGGAAGAGTCGGAGTTCACGAAGCATCCCCTTTTTCGACATGCCCCCATCCCTGACCCCCAAACATGTACCTTTTTTGGGGGAGGACCCAAAAAAACACGCAACAAGTCGGAGGAAGACTCAGAATCTAACCCAGTCTAGGTCCACCCAATGAGACGGTACGGAGCCTCAGGAGGATCGCATCGCGGGCTATACGAAGTTCCTGAAAGCAGGGCCGAAGCTGCTGCAGATGCTTCCCCAGCAGCTTGGAATTGGTGAAATCACCGAGAAATTGGTTCCGTTTTAATATGCTTTTTGATGCACAGCTTTCGATGGTACACAAAATCCTGGACTATCTCTACCATGCAAGGTTTTCCGAGATTCAACTGCTTCATACACTGAGCAGGTTTAACCCCATTTTTGCTAGGTGGTTCCATCAGTTGGCTTCCTATACTACTAAACACGATTCATTCGCCATTCCCATATTTTGAGACGTCGACGCATTGACTTTGTCTGAAGTTGCCCAAATCCAACTCAATCCACTCCATACCATTTCTCCCTCCAGGTTCGGCCCCATTGTGGATCTCCGCCGCTGGCTGCAGACTTATGCCTTTTGGAGCGGCGGTGGTGCCGGCAACGTCGCCAAGATGCTACGTTTCTTGGA